CTCACTCACTCACTCACTCACTCACACACCACAAGTGAGAATATAAAGAACAAAATAATAACTTATTCTCACACAACAAATGTCAACTGTACACACATGTCATTTCCTGGACCTATACCAAAGTGTGAATGTAGGCTTCCTGCAACAACCCACATCGAAACAGAAAATGTCCTATTGGGAATTCAGTTCCAATAATAATGAAGCCTCCAGGAGCAGATGAGCCTAAGGGCTAATAGCTCATCTTCAGTCTGCTGATGTTTGCTATTGCCATTTCTGTGGTGGCAAAGAAAAGAAAAAACATAAGAAAAAAGACAACAATTAAGGACAAGTGTGTGCTTTTTCAGCTTTTGACCTCTCTCCATCCTTTGAGCAAATGCCTTCTTCCTGAGTCACTTCTCTCCTCCATCACAGCGGCTGTGCATATTACTTTTGTGTTGCTGGCGGAGCCTACGCTTGTACTCGGTTGATGACTGTCCTCCTCCTCATTCACTTGTTCACTTTCGCTGGTAATATTCTCCTCTGTACCTCTCTTCCGAATACCTCCCGTTTTGAGCCACGTTTTTAACATCATTCAGCTTTCTTCTTTCTTTTGCTTGCTTGCAACGTTCGCTAATCGTTCCCGAGTAGTATGGTCATCATTAGCAACGCCAGAAATAAAAAAAAATTTTTTTGTTTCTAAATCTAAAAACAACAATAGCCTACTAGAACTTATTTAAACCACAGTTTCAATTATCTCAAGCTTATTTTCATTCGTTGTAGTATTTTGATAGTATGATTTATTTTGTAATTAATGTTATTCAATCAAGCCTCAAACTGATGGCATTTGTCCCTATAGCCTGTTTTAAATGGAAGTTGTCTGAGGTCCTTACCACCAGCTGCTCTTGCAGTAAGTAGTGTGCCTTACTGTCCCAAATGTGCACAATGTAGTGGCTGCTTTTCATCTTTTTGTTTACTTAGGCTAGTTATGTTTTCTGTATTTTTTATGTCTGTGTTGTGTAAGAGCGTGTAAGGTTGCTGCCTTCTTGGCCAGGTCAGCATTGTAAATGAGATTTTTTTTCTCAATGTTTTCATCTGGTTAAATAAAATAAAAAATAAAAAAATCCCTCCGCGTACCACTAGCAGGAGCTGGCGTACCACCAGTGGTTTGCGTACCACAGGTTGAGAACCACTGTTCTAGATGACAGCTGTGTGTTAGCCACCAATACACACATATTTGTTCTTAAATGTTCTCTGTCTGGATATTACTATTATACTGGTATAACTACTACAAGTAGCCTACTTCTTTCTTATCCTGTAAGGCACCTTTTGTTTAGCTCTACTCCATTAGGTTCAGACTGTTTTTTCTACAACACAATGTATGTTTTCTCACCCCTCCCCGTCTGAAGCTCAGAGTTCCTGCTCTCCCAGTAAAAGTCAGCACACCAGTTCCACCAGTGAGGCTGTCCCTCCCCCAACCCTGTCCCAGAACCGGTCTTTCTCTCTGCCTCCGGGCCATGCTGTGTGCTGTTTCATGGATGGTGGGGTGGGGCTATATGACATGGGGGCCAAGAAGTGGGACTTCCTACGAGACTTGGTATTCTCTAAACTTCTTTGTAAACGTAACAGCTTACACATGCTTACATATGACTGAAAGAAAAGAATCAAACCGTGTTGTGTTGTTTCCAGGGGCATGTAGAGACTATCTTTGACTGTAAGTTTAAGCCAGACGACCCCAACCTGCTGGCCACTGCTAGCTTTGATGGAACCATCAAAATCTGGGACACAAACACTCTGACAGCAGTTTACACCTCGCCTGGCAACGAAGGAGTGGTATACTCACTGTCCTGGGCTCCAGGTAGATACACTCCACACACACATAAAGAATCCAATCTGATGTTAGCAGCCCACAAAACACATGCACAAACATGTCAGGTTCATATAAAGAAACTCTAGTTGTCCCATGTATAGACTGGACATAACAAATGACCAGTCACTGTGACATCACTGTGTGTGCACTACAGCTTTGTAACCTCGAGTTTGGCACTTGGCCGTTGTTGCCTTTTGGAACCAAAAGTGACCGAGAGGGTGGAGCAAAGTACAACTGAATGCTGAACAAGATACTTTTAGGATATCCAACATTTTACATTAAACTTTAAAAGTGTTATAAGGTGAAAATATCAACCTGTGACCTGTCATTCACCATGTAACCGCAATTATCTTTTACTCTAACTGGGACCATCATTTACTAAATAAATGCCATAATCCTGAATCATGCTGTAATGAAGGAGACTTCATCTGGGTTTGAGATCATAAACTATTTAGGAAAAGATTCAGTGAGAAGTCTCACAGTCTTTTATACAGTCAATGTTTTTTACCAATGGAGTCACCCCTGCTGGCAATGTATTGCTTTACTTTCCAGACTCAGAGGTTGCCCCCTTGTTCCCATCCCAAGAGCTTAGTAAAGTGCATCATCTGTGCCTAATGTGAAATGTGGTGACCTTTGTGTTTTGAAGGAGATCTGAACTGCATAGCAGGCGCAACGTCTCGTAATGGAGCGTTCATCTGGGACGTCAGGAAAGGAAAGATCATCACTCGCTTTAATGAGGTTACTGTGACTTCAAAAATGACTTCAAGCTGAGTCCCTGTAGCATTAGTGTATGCTGTATTCTCCTTTTCTTCTACTGACACTCTGAAAAGGGTTGTTTCCATACCAGCTAGAGAGTTTGCTCTCTAATGGTGCTTTTCCACTGCAGCACGTAGCACAGTTTAAGCGGGCCGGGCCAAACCAGGCCCGCTTTTTTTTGCTTTTCCACTAGGGGTAGTACTCAGTGCTTTTTTCTGGCCCTCCAAAATCGAGGTTCTTACCAGGCCAATAACCGGGCTGAATATGCTAAACCAGTGACGTAAACACTCTCGACTGCTGAATGGTCAGAGAGAATCGCTGGCAAGGGGGCTACAACTACAACACAATGAACATATTTTA